AAGGTCGGGGATTGGGCCCCAAAAAAAAAAAAAAAAAAAAAAAAAAAAAAAAAAAATTCAACTGGGTGCGGTGGCACATACCTGTAATCCCCGCACTTGGGAGGCTGAGGCAGAAGGATCACTGCAAGTTCAAGGCCAGTTTGGGCTACACAGTGAGTTCAAACTCAGCCTGCACTACATAGTAAGATCCTGTCTCAAAAAAAAAGTATTGCATGTTCTCTCATACTACATGGAAGCTAAACAAAGTCTGTACGAAGGTAAAGAGGGGTTTCTGCAGATTGGAAGGGTGGACAAGTTGGATTTAATCAGTGCATGCTGTATGCACTGAACGGCATTAATACAACTCAGCAAAATAAATTTTAAATGTGGTTCATCTTAAATTTCATCTTAAATCTTTTTAAATTTGGGGAGGGTTTTAGAGTGTATATACAAATACAACTTCTGAGAGTGGATATTACTTAGAATGTGGTTAAGCAGTCTATGGCCACACCATCCTGAATGCGCCCGGTGTTGTCTGATCTCAGAAGCTAAGCTGGGTTGGGCCTGGTGAGTACTTGGATGGGAGAATGTGGATAAGCAAAATGTTAGAACCACTACAAAGGATTGAGAAGTTATACCAATGGCAGCAGAACACCTGCTCTCCTCCTCCTGCCCTTGAATTAAATATAAACTTAACTGCAACAGTAACAGATGACACACAAAAGTTGGTAAAAGGTTTAGACAGTTCTCCAAAGATGTTTATGAATACCAGTAAATACATGAATCTCAAAATGATGGGTCATTAGGCAAATAAATGCACATCAAAACTACAATGAGATGCCACCACACACCCATTAGAATGGCTGAAAATGAGTGTCAGCAAAGAAATGCATTGTACATTGTTGGGAATGTAAAATGGTATGGCCACTGTGGAAAACATGACAGTTCCTCAAGAAGTTAAATTACTGTAGAATCCAGCTATTCCACTTCTGAGTATAATCCCAAAAGAACTGAAGACAGATTCAGACTGAAAACTTGTCTGTGAATATTCACAACAGCACTGTTCAAATATTCAAACAGCACTTGGCCAAAAGTGGGAACAACCCAGGAGTCCAGCAGGTGATGCTTTAGTAAACAAGCTGTTCTTCATAAAGTCAGTTTATGTCCATTGTGCGTCGCTATTCTGACACTGGCTACGACATGGATGAGGACATTATACTGAGTGAAGCCAGTTACCAGAAGACAAATACTGTGACGAAAAGAGAGTGTGCTGCTGCCCTGTGTGGCCTTAGATTCAGAGATGGGAGGTAGAATGGGCATGCCAGGGGCTGGGGGCGGGGAAGGGGAGTCCGTGTTTAATGGGAAGTTTCTATTTGGAATGATAGAAAGTTTTAGAAAAAGCTAGGGGTACTGGATGTATAGTACCATGACTACTTAACACCACGGACGTGTAACACATGGTTAAAGTGGCAAACTTTGTTCATATATATTTTACCACAATAAAACATACTGTTAGACTGGGTATTTAGCTCAGTGGCACTGCCTGCCTGGCAAGTGCGAGGTCCTGAATTCGATCCCCTATACCCCCCCAAAAGAATTTCTAAACATACAAAAAAATGGAGAGAATAGGACAATGAATTCCCATGTCCCTAAAACTCATTTTCTGGATAATTTGTTTGACCCATCCACCCCAACCCCTTCCTTGGTAAGTTAAAGTAGTTCCTGACTCTCGTCTCAGGCATAGATACATCTCCAAGAAGCAAGGGGCAGGGTACAGACATGACAGCAGCAGCACCGTGTAATGCTCTGGTTTCCTGATACTCATCTCTGCTTACATTTCTCCCTGTGGATCACAGATGTCTTTCTGTAGGCTTATTTGAATGGACATCCAAGTATTGTATTTGATGGTTGATACTTAACATCTTTTAATCTATAATTGTTCCCCATTTCTTTTTTCCTTGCCATTGATTAACTGAGAAAGTAATTTGTCCTATGAAATTTTCCACATTTTGCATAGTCACAGTGCTGTTTACTGTCTCCTGTCTGTCCTGTAAACTGGTGCCTTAGACTTGATGAGGTTTGGGTAGGAGGCACATGGCATCTGCCTCTGAGGCTCTGTCTTGTGAGACAGAGACTGCCTGTTCTGGGCATTAGAATTGGGGTTTGTTTGTTTGTTTCTGGGGATTGATCCCAGGGCCTGCCCACTGAGCTATCTCCCAGCCCTTTTTTATACTTTATGTTGAGATAGGATCTCCCTAAGTCACTAAGTTGCCCAGGCTGATCAAGAACTTGAAATCCTCCTGCCTCGGCCTTGAGAGCACTGGGATTTCAGGCATGTGCCACACCCCAGCTTACAGTTGAAGCTTTTTAAATGGAAGGGGGGCAGGGTGACGTGAGCAGGGATTTAGAGCTGGATAGGGCACTGCAGAGAACAGCTCTTCTACAGTTTTAGCAAGTACAAAGCTGTCTTTTTGTGAGCACCTGACCCCAGCCTGGCCACAGGACACTCATCAGTGTGTGGGAGGGGTGGCGGATGCTGAAGCACAGATACTCTGTAGACCCCACCCACCTGTACACATACAGATGGTTAAAATAGTACATTTTTATGTTCCGTGTGGTCAGAGAATTTGTTGGCAAAGCTAAATATACATATATAGGGCCAGGGATTTAGCTTAATGGTTCCGCCGCCTGCCTTGCAAAAATACATATGTAGTGTAACTACTGGGAAAAATGTTTGAACCTGTTTTTATCACATATATGTCAAAACATGGTATGAGGTTTGTGACATCTTCAAACCAAGTATTTTGAAGTAATTGTGTAGCTTTTCATTTCAATCTTTTGTGCTTTTGAAGACAGCAGTGTTCACATCTATGTAGTCAGTATATTAATGGTGCTTCTTGACTTTAGGAATTTGAGAGTGTGTTTTGCGGTAAAACTGGCAGAAGGCTAAAGCTGAGCAGACCGGACTCCTTGGTGACCTGCCCTTCCCAGGGGAGTCTGCAGAATAGCCCTGCAGTGGAGATCAAGTGACTGGACTGGACAGGAATCCTGGTAAAGGGCTGTTCAGGCATGTCCACGAACGCCAGTGTTCTGCGACCCTGGGGCTTTGCTCTGACAGCGCCACGGCTCGAGTCCAGGGGACTCCCGTAGGGACTTTGAGAGCACATTTTGCAAAAGTATTTACCTAAAACAAAATACTTATTCATGAATGTCCTCTTAGATCATTTGGGGATGAAGACATCTTGATATTAGTAAGTAATTTTCAATTATCTGTCTTATTCCATCATGTTTTCTTAACATGATAACTCAAAAAATGAACATCCTTTGTAATTTATATATTCTTAAAAGGTACATTACTTTTTACTTATTTTATTTGCATTTTAAATGTGTCCCTTTAGCAATTGGAAGAAGGTAAATTGTTCTTAACTAGAAGTAGTTTGAAAATTTTATTGCATTTGTTGTATCACTCCCCTTTGTAATATTACCGGTCTCATGGTACTTTGTGTTGCAAAATGCAGTACTATTTTAAAACTTTTCACTAAAAATTTTCCAGAGACTTCCTTTAAATAAGCTATTTTGTCCATATGTAAAATATTTTCTCAGTAGACTGCTTAAGTGCCCACACATTCATATTGCAAGTCATTACATGTAATAAACTGCATGTTTGGAATGGAGTTTCCAGTGTGTGGCTTTATTTTTATGCAGATGAGGTCGTGGACTGGTGTGATGCAGTCACCTTCAGTGAATTCCGTCAGTCAGAGACGAGGGTTTGTACACAGAACTAGGTCAAGCAGGCTAGACTTTTCCATTGAAGGGACACTGCATGTTCTTTATTTTATACTGGCCGAGTCACTAATCTGAAGATTTAATATATCATTTTATTGGGATTGTGTCATAGTCTTTACACAAATGTCTATGTAAACAAGTCAGAATTTGTCCCAGGGGATTGTACGGAGCTCTGCGCACACACCGGCGTCCCTTCCAGATACAGGGTGTAGCTGATCCATAGGGCCTGTGTCTGAGGTATGCTGTCAGATGAATGGGCCACTGTGAGCACTGCAGACAGGATCCAGCACAGCACCATCTGCTGCTCTCAGGGCCCCTCAGGCCAGCAGCTGCCAACCAGGAAGCTGAGGCCGGGTCGGGAAGGCCTCCTGGACTGACTCTGGCCATGCTGTCCAGCCCTAATGGCCTCGTCGTTGACCTGGCCAACCTATCAGCTTAAGTTGTCATTGTCATCACTTCTCTCTTCAGTTCAATTCTATGCGCTGCGAGGGCCGGACTTTTCCCCGTTCCCTCCTAACACGGCTCCTTGGCAGGCAGAAGTGTCACAGATCCCTGGAGTCCCCTGAGCCCCAACAGCACCAGGAAGGCCAGGATCGCCAGGAAGCCCAGAATCACCGTGGGCACCATCTCGGCCATCTTTGCTGATGCCAGGCACACCTTGTGGCCCTGCAGATCAGATGGAGACAGAGTCGTAAGAACCCACCGTCCTAACTGTTTATTTTCTGAACTCCAGACGGGGCTGGGGAGGAAAGCCCAGGCTGGGACCCACAGGGCAAGGCCTGACATGGGGCAGGGTATGGATGGGTGGAAGAGGCAGTGAGGCCCAGGCAGATCTCGGGCGGAGGCTGGATGGGCCTGAGGACACAGCATGCTGGGTATGTGTGGAGAATGGCTTTGGTGTGGGCAAGAGGGGGCGAAGCACACCTGGGTGGGAGGTGGGGGAATCAAGGGCAGAGTCAACCACCCAAGGGATGGAGACCAAGTCCCCCTGGTGCCCTGAACAGTGGGGAGGTTGCATGGCAACTGGGAAGCGATGCTCAAGGCCACTCAGGTGCAATGCAGCCTGGCCAGCCTGTCAGGTGACGGCAGAGCCGGGGCAGCAAAGCAGGAGCTGGGCCTATGTGCACCTCACGGGAACCAGAGAGGAGAGGAGGAGCCAGGAGTGAGCACTGTGCATGCGTGAGCTCCAGGAGGATGAGACTCCAGAAGGCCCTAACTAGTCTCGTAAGTCTCGAAAGGTCAGAACATGGTGGGGCAGCCTGGCTCCCTCCTCAACAGAATGTCTGGGGTTTTTTAATTTTGGTTTTGGTTTTTGGTTTTTGATGGTGCTGCGATTGAACCCTGTGCTTTACACATACGAGGCAAGTGCTATACCATGGAGCTATATCCTCGGCCCTTTTTAAAAATTTTTTATTTTGAGACAGGGTTTTGATAAGCTGCTCAGGCTGACTTCTTTAAAATTTTATTTATTTATTTATTTATTTATGATTGAGAAACTGAGGTTCATTACTCAGTCAGGCAAGCCCATTAGGATCTTATAGCTATGGGAGAGTTATTTATATTTATATTTTTATTTATTTATTTTTTGTTTTTTTTTGAGACAGGGTCTCACTATGTAGTTGAGACTGACCTGGAACTCACTGTGTAGCCCAGTCTGGTCTCGAACTCACAGCAATCCTCCTGCCTCAGTCTCCCGAGTGCTGGGATTATAGGCGTTCGCCACCATGCCCGGCCTTGCTCAGGCTGACTTTAAGCTTGCAATCCTCCTGCCTCAATCTCCCGAGTAGGCTTGTTGCCACTGTGCCAAGCTTTCATTTTAACATTAAAAAGTTGAAGCATGAAGTACACTTGGATCAATTAAGAGAAAATTCCTTTAGAATTTAACTAAGATTTAGACAGCAGAATGGCTCTAGTTAAGTAGTACTTAACCAAATCTACTAAGCTAAAACAGATACAGGGAGATCTGTTTATTGATTAAAATTTTACATATTAAAGTATTTAAGGCAGTTTGTAATCTTGTCTCTGAGAATGCTTTGCCAAGAGAAAAGCATTTCTTCTCCTAATAAATGAGACATGTCCCTAAGCCGAGCGCTCCCCACAGGGACCCTGCGGGTGACAGTGTCCTACCTTGGAGTCCTTGGTCTCCGGCAGGTCCGTCCAGCCCTGCGCCCACTGCGCCCTTATCTCCTCTGTCACCCTGACTTCCTGCAGGGAGGATGGACACACCACATCATCAGACCAGCTGCTGCAGCCCCAGTGCCGCATTCCATCCTGCCTGTCGCAGTCAGGGTTCCACCCTCCACACACTGCACAGAGGCCAAACCTCGCAGGTGTCACGGGTATGGCTTGCGGTGAGTGACACCTCCTGACCTCTGCAGCCACTGTGGGTGGCATTTTGGTTTGCTGAAAATACTTATTCCTGCTGAGCCACTGGGTATTGATGTGGTATTCATTTGCATGTCCCTAATTCTGGACCCCTGCGTCACCTGAGGGTATTTTAAAACTGTCCCTCCGATGCCTCTCTTAGCTCTCCCCTGTGTTTTGGCCTGCCTGAGTCACAGTGGTGGGGAGGTGTTAAACTTCCTCACCACTGGCTTTGTGGGTTCTGAAGCCAGGGCCAGGGTGTGGGAGGCGTACGTCATCCTAGGGTCATATTCCTGGCAAACTTCACCTTGTGTGTTTTGGGGGGGCTAGATATTCAGTTATACACTGAGATACATCCCCAGCTCATTTTAATTTATTTGGAGATAGACTCTCACTAAGTTGTCCAGACCAGCCTGGAATTTGTAATCCTCCCGCCTCAGCCTCTTGAGTAGCTGAGCCAAACCATAGTTTAGGCCAAACTGAACTTCTGATTAGTACAGCAACACAGTGTAAGGCAAAAGGCAGCATTCACACTATTCTGCTTTGCTGGTGCTAACAGCAGCATCACCTTTAACTGGTTGTGGTTTCTCAGCATACCTGCAGTGCTGTTGTCCCCCGACACTGACCAGAGTTGTGGGTGCCTAATTAGTACATGTCCCTGAGGCCACGGCTGCTTTTGTCACTGAGCCCCAGCAGGTTGGCTTGCTGGCCCTGACTTGCCAGTCCTGGGGTGGGGATGGGGGTGGGGGGCTGCTCCTCCTCAGGGCTGTGTTTGCCCTGTCCCCTAAAGGCCCAGTCCTGTAGGAATCTTCAAAACGTGGGCTGCCTGGAGCCGCGTTTGGAAGCGGGAACAGGAAGTGCTTGTGCTACAGCCCGGAGTGCTTGTTGTCATAGTGACGTATGCAGTTAAGAGCGACGAAGGAAATGACGGTTAGTTTGGGACAGACACTGCCCGTGGACAAGAGGACGGTGACCCATCTGCCGCCAATGCTGAATCCTCCCTTAACTGCCTTAAAAACAAGTGAACAGATGCTGCTAATTATACGGGATCATTCCACCTGCCAATGCATTTAATCTCAGAAGGAAGAAGGAACTCACAAAACTTTCCCTTAAAAACTTTTCTAAGCTACCTTTGAGAAGCAGGAAGTTACCAGTCACTTGAAGTTAACTGGAGTAAGGCGTGAAACCCTTCACCTGAGCCACAAGGCACCTGACGGAGCCTCCCCGGGCCAGTGCTCAGCTTTCCACATGATGATCCAGAACTGTGGCACCTCCCTCCAAACCTAAATCTTTCTGATTCTTATCCTCAAAATAGAATTCTGAATGGTTTAATTTGCCTTTTGCAACAGACATTTTCATATACAACCAATTTTGGGGAATATGTGTGCTATTAGAGGGACTCCCATTTTTTATTCCTTACACTTTACCAATCCCCACTAAATGTTCTGTTGAAAAAAAG